TCAGGTTAACTGTATGATAGCCATGATGAATTATGCACCGGCGTGTGATAAAAGACATTCAGAGCATATGCTACTCTTGAAGTATGGAGACCGAATGCCCTCAAGACTGTGTTCCTCCATTGAGCTGTAGTATAGATTAAATGCTGTGTAGGATTAACAGTGCAAACATGCTCCATTAGCAACCTAGATACAATCCAGATCAGTGCATTGATGTTGCTTTTAAAAAATAACAATTATCAAAGCTAATTTATTAGATGCGAGAATTTCTTTTTAGCTGCCTGTTTTGTTATTTAGCACAAGCGTAATGTAAATGTCATTGTGTAGGTGATGAATTACGGCTTAATTGAGAATCTCCATTTAGAGTCATGGTTAGACGTGTGCAAACATGCTAAAACATCCAGCTACCTATCAACTGCGCATTTATTTAATTAAGTAGATGAATTAATAATACATCGCACATCGTGAAGTATTACTCATCTGCATGCAGTGCAGATTTTTGGAAATGATTATGCAAAATGAAGCATGCACTTCAACAGATTTGTTCATATTTTTGTCTGACACAGTATCAGATCACATTTTAGAGTGTTTGCAAACCTTTGGCCTTGACTATATTGTCAATAACTAACATTTTGTGGTGGCAATACTTTCCAGTTTTCAGTATTAGCACTTAGCAGCTGAAGCACACTAACACTAAATACACCCTTCATGCTGCAAGGAAAAGTGGTCTGGAATACTGACCGTAAACTGTAACCAAAACCGAGATGAAGGAAACTTTAGGCATTAAAAACTTTCAGAAAATGAGCAGAGCAGTGTTGTATGTACACTTCAAATGAGATTATATCATGTCAGGAACTGTGTTTATGACATTGTGAAAAATGTAAAGGACTGATTGAACTTCATATTTACTGTCTGTATTTGAGTTTTTTAACCACAAGCAAGTGTCTTCAAAGAATTCCTTGAGATCATCAGCACCACAACCACTGCAAAAACTACACCCATGTATGCAGTATTTTCCAGGTATATAAATAACTTTAGCTGATTATTATAACTATATAAATTGATTAAAATGTATGCTGATATGGTCTTGGTTGTCAAAATAATCTGAATATATGTAATAGATTCAAACTAATGATAAGAACAATAATTATTTGATTAATAGTTCAAAGGATATCAATGGTTGGTTTTGGTCCGTTGGTTTGTTTTTGTAGCATTTCAGTTCTCATCGCGGCCAGTAGATTGCGCCAAAGTACTTGGAATAGCGCTGGAGCATAATTTAGAAAAAATATGCAACACAATGTTGTTTTAATCTTCTAGAAGCAATTTTGTCTCCTGGCAACAATATATCCTGAAAGCTACTGGGTGAATATAAAAGTGAATTTATCTCATGAACAGGCAAGACAGAATTTTCTGCTGTAGGCTATGATAAAATGTCTGAATGTTTTATTCCACATTGATACTGTGAAGTGAATATGATGGGTGGCAACATTGCTCAGTTAATCACCTTTATATTCACAGTACTTGGCACAACGCTGACCACTCCTGTTAATGGAAGATCCTGATCCACTGGTTCAGAATGGCAACATACTCATTTACTCATCCGTTCTTCCAAACCTGTATTTCTTTCTTCTGCTGAACAAGTGAAGATAATAGCTAATTTGTTGGTAACTGTAGGTAAAAAGTCATATGGAAGTCAATGGCCCACAACTGCCCACAAAAATATCTTCTGTGTTTAACAGAAGAAAGGAGGGCTCATACAGGACTCAGGAGGGTGAGAAAATGATGACGAGTTTTCATTTTTAGGTGAACTTATAACATAGCCAGTGATTGGCATTTTTTAAATTGTCATGAAAAGTGCTTAATTGGAAGTATTGTTAACCTTGTTTCAATTTGAGTTAAAGTGTTTAAATATAGAAAGTAATAGCTTATGCTTATAAAATAATTTGGGGTTAAAAAAATACCGGGTTAAAATAAAATAAATTATTTTGGTTCAATAACCAAAATAGCCTAAATAGAAAACGATAAAATTGTCAATCAAAATGTCTGTTAATGAAATAAATAAATAATCAAACATGCAAACTTTGAGATGCTTAAGGCTTTTTTATGAAACTGATTGTTCTCAGCTATGTTCTCAGCACGCACTGAATCCATAGACGGGTGACGTATGGCACAGCTGATCTGGCAACAACTGGAGCTGAGCTCACAGAAAGAGCTGAATGTGTCTCCGCGCAGGATATTATTAAACACATCAGCAGTGCGGGGGAAAGGTAAGTGACGACGCAAATGCTTTTTTATCATACTGTGCAATCGGACATTGGTGGTATTAGCTAACGTTACTCTGTTGATGCGGACTGGTTAGTTTATTTTCTTTTTGAGGGTCTTGCTAGTGTCATTTATGAAACGTTTTGCTACCACGCTTTACTGGACATTTAGCGTTCGATGTGGTGATCAAGACAAGTGCATTCGTGATATAATATAATCCGACAGTCGCATTACCAAGCGAATATTAGAATATATTAATATAACAAAGAATATATGACACGTTTAGGCTGGAACAACCTCCATTGAAACTATACACCGATGCTGCGGTGAATAGACGTCATCGACCAGCGTCATTTGTACACAAGCCAGCCTTGTTGTTTTATTATGCAGTGCGTTGAACATCTAATGTTATTGTTTAAACTCTTAACTAAGTAATTGTTGGTATTTGTGGCTAGTCGTCGCAGTTTCAGGCACCCCATCACGGGATCCCGGATGAAATAAGCCTCTGGACCACACAGTGCGATATTTGCTGGGCTGTCAATCTAAGCCACCGACAGCAGTGAAGTTCGCGACAAACGCATTCAGCGACTCACTTTCCCGACCGTTTAATTACCATACATAGCCACTAATTTGTTTAGAATTTGCCTATACTGAAATTTACATAGAGTAGTTTGAATAAAACAGGGCCCACCAATCCAAAACAGGCAGCGCGCCTATTTCTGATTGTTTGACTCGATGTATTAATTTCACTGCGCGCCCCCGGTGTCGTGAGAAAACGGGTCCTCCCTCGAAATCTCTATCTAGGACACACCACACGAACAACATTAAAATGTTTATAACTGAGAGCACAAGAAAACCAATTTTCAATTATATCAAATTTTGATGTTCCGAAAAAGGAAAATGTTTTTCTTCGTAGAGATATATTATGAGAAAAGAAGAACAATAGCGAAATGCTCAATAATAAACCAAAAACAAATTAACACGCCATAATACAATAATACAAAGGCCTCAACAAACAGAGTGTAGTGTTGGATGCAACGGATGAGGAAATACTTGTATGATGTAGATTATTGAATCCTTGGTAAGACCAGATTCAATACTCCACATAGACATTCCAGACACAAGTAGATAACAGTTGTACAACGTTATCCTCTTCATTAATATCCTGTTTCGATGATGACCAAGTGAGATATTATGCAGGTAGATTACTCTTTTCTATTCCCAACATGTACCATGTAGTAGGAAAAAGCATTGGTACAAAAAAAGGGTAGGTAAAAGGAGTCCTTCTATAAACAAAATATTAAACATTATTATTAACCAACAATGTAATACAAGTTATACAGCACAGCCACCATTGAATACAAATATATATATACCTTAATTTGATTGAGCAGAAAACGATAAGTTTCCCAATCAGGACATTAGGTAAGATTTTTTTTTTTTTTTTTTTAATTTTCAAAATCACAGAGTTTGATTATCAAGTTCTTGACATTTCTTTTACACATTTTTACATGTGGTAAGTATAACATGAAACAGCAATAATTTGTAAAAAAGAAAGAAAAACACAAAAAAAACAAAGATAAAAGTAAGGTTACCAGAGGCAAGCCATGCTTTCCTCTTACCAAACAGCTCTCCCTTCTTCTACTCCCTCCCTACCGGTATTCAACTAAATACAAACAAACCATGGTGTCCCCTAATGGTGGGTAGTAGAATAACACCATAAGTAACAACTAAGTTTACATTGTTACATGTTAAAATTGCTTAACACTGGGACAAAAATTGAGCCCTGGCACTGTAGCCACGCCAGCCCACATTATCATCCCCAGCCCCACCCACAGACATGTGCATTAAAATGTCTAGTATTTAGGGAGGTTGGGGGGCATGTTCCCTTGAGAAAATTTTGATTTCTCAGATGACACTTGGAGGCCAAAAAAAGGATAATAAATAGCTTTATTCTGTTTGAATAAATAGCTATAAATAGCATTAAATTATTTTGTCAATACCTGCTCTCTCCTCATCAACATCTTTCTTTTTCTCTCAGTCTCCTTATCCTGCCCTATTTCTTCCCCTCTTAAAGCTGAACTTTGACTGATAGTCTTTTTTTGATTTGTCTGTCAGTGAAAAAAGTAAACATAGGCTTAACTGATAATTATGTGTTTTATGAATCATTATCTTAAACAAGTTAATTTACTCGAATCATTCGCTGATCATTCCAGTAACTCGAATCATTCACTGATTTACTAATGTAGCCTTTGACTAATTACGTAAAGCGTATGCCTATTACTCTTTCCATTCTTGCAATTTACAGATTGAAATATTGTTACAAATAGTAAGGGCCCAAACTTTTGTTGATGGGATGCATTGACTTCCATAGTATTTTAGTCCCATACTGAAAAACTGTTTGGTAACCCATATTCTCTGAAATATCTTCCGTATTAAGCAGAGGAAAGAAATTCACACATTCACAGGTAGAGTTGGAACAACTTGAGGTAGAGTAAATGACAATTTTAATATTTGGGTGAACTATCTCTTTAAGATGGCACATGAATGATGTGCATGGTTAAATCTTTTAATAAATGTTTTACAATATTCCATGAAAAAAAAGTATAAGAAAAAGTAAAAAGTAATCTCGGTTTTGGTTCAAGTTTACAAGTAATGAAGTGAAAAGACTGCAAGTGCTCGTCTAGGAGTATGCTATTTCGAGTCATAAGAGTCGAGATTCATTCAAAAGAACCGATTGGTTCCCCAATGAAACATCACGACCTCTCAAAAGAAACGCCCGTGCCTTACGTCACAAACCCATATCACAACACGTGTCGGAATGTTGTTTCTGTCTGCTTCCAAAACACACGGTTGCTATAGCGGGTTAAGACACAGGACAACACACACGATTTCAGACCTTCAACAGAGAGTGAATACTGACTCGTATGCTAGTTGCTACTACCTGCTTTTTTATTTTAGGCTACGAGATGAATTATTCGTTTACGTTGCAAACTTAGTATGTGTTTGCCCCGTAGGTGCGAAGATGAAACGAACATGATCAGTACCGATGGCCCATCCACCAAGTGCGCGGAGACCCGGGACACCGGGAAGAGAGAGAGGACGCCGCCAGAAATGCTGCACCTCATGTTCGCGGTCTCCGTGTGGCTGGTGACGGGCACAACCATATCCAGCCTCAACAAATGGATATTCACCGTGTACAATTTCAGATACCCGCTGCTTCTGTCAGCCCTCCACATGCTGACGGCGATAGTGGTGGACTACGGGCTGATCAAATGCAGGGTTATCCGGCACAGGGGCATCGGCGAGCAGGATTTAACCGCCAACGCCAAATTTAAAGTGTTCCTGTTGAGTTTGACATTCTGTGCCAGTATCGCGTTTGGAAACGTGGGACTGAATTATGTGCAGCTTTCGTTCGCACAAATGATCTACACAACAACGCCGCTGTTTACTCTGGCGATTTCCACGCTGATCCTCGGAAAGCAGCACCACATCCTGAAGTACACCGCGATGATGCCCATCTGTCTCGGGGCGTCGTTCAGCATCATGGGCGAGGTCCAGTTCGACCAGATTGGCTGCCTGTTTGTGTTCGCCGCCACCATGTTAAGAGGCGTAAAAAGCATTCAACAAAGTAAGTAAATGTAACGTTGGCAATTCGATTCTTTTAAGCGGACCGATTCATTTTAGTAAACTGATTATCACTCTAATGATACATTTTTGCAGTCTACATTTACGACTGTTTTAGATCTAGTTATACAGATTTAGTGTTTTCAATGTCATTTAAAACCTGGGAATATTAGGAAATTTCCTGGAAATGTCATATAGCCTAGAAATTGATAGATTTATTAAAGATTTAACGTTATACAGCGACATCTTTGTTAAATGGATAGTTCACCCCAAAATGAAAACTATTCCATGATTTGCTCACCCTCAAGCCATCCTTTTCATGGATGAATGCGTTTTTTTTAGGCCTCAAAATCTAAGGTTGGCTCCCATTCACTCCCATTATAAAGCCTGGAAGAGCCGGGATCATTTTTAATATAACTCTTGTGTTTAGCTGAAATAATAAAGTCAAATACACCTAGGATGGCATGAGAGTGAGTATATTGTTGGATAATTCTTATTCTTCTTATATTTATTCTTGTGAACTAACCCTTTAAGCTTTAAAATACTTGTATAAACAAGTTTTTGTAAGGGCAATGCATATAATATTATTTAAAATCCATATACTATTCTGTAAAATTCAATGTAGAGTCAGAGAAATTAACTGGTCAAATTAAGGCAAGTATGTTTTGCGTTATTCCTAGACAAGTCAAATGATTCAGAAAGCCTTTCGAATCGTTTCAACCGAATCATTTAAAAGAACCGGCTCATAAGAACAGTTCGTTCGTGAGTTGGATGACTATTTAACCCTCTTCTCAACTGCAGAGCTTTTTCTTGATTAGTTTGACAATAAAACGTGTTAAAAATTTTAGAAAGGTATTTGATGATGTATCTAAATTCATTATCATAACTTAAAAGGTCACTGGCTATTGTCATATGAAAAGATTCTTAACCAAATGTTCCTGACAGCAGAGCCTATTTTTGTCTCAATAAGGCTAGTTCTTGGTCATTATGTTCCACACTGCTGTAACTTCCTAGTGTCTGTGTGAGTCAGAGCGCAGGACGTCCTGTTCCAGAAACCCATGAGCAACTACATGCTGATGTTGTTTTCTAACCCGATCTCCCAAGTAGCAAATGAACTCACAGTAACAGATGGGGATTATCTACTTAACTGTTTTTGATTTCTTAAAATGAGTGTCAGTTGATCTCCATTACACTAAGTGACCTCCTCCCTAAAATAACTGTAGGCGTCTGGCTCTGAAAACATCAAGGAGTGAGGGCGAGAGTCTGTGCTTTAGTTTACTGGGAGAACCAGTTTTGGTTTTAGTCTTTGTATGACTTCTTTTTCTTTCTTTTTTTCTTTTTTATTACGTCATATCTTTTCACAAACAGCTGCAACCATACATGCTGGTGATATTCAATGCATTGTATGTCAAAGAAAATGTTTAGTTGTTGTACTGTTGCATAACATAACCTACAGCTTGCATACAAGCTAAACGGGCAGTGGCTTGTTTTTTTTTAACAAATTGAACTTTGTAGTGTAGGTAGGCTATACAAGAAAAATTATGATGTGTCAATATTAGGAAACCAAGAATTAACAGAGGCTAAGTATTTGCCTCATTGAAAAATGGTTCGTATTATTATTCTTAACATTTTTAATAATTTAATATATTTTAATGATTCATATCTCATAGAAAACTGGGAAATTTTAGTAGGTTTGGGAGTTGTAATTATATGAATCAGCTACTTTGCTTTCTTGGTCCATGGGAGATCCTCCATGAAGATTTATCTTGCTCATCTGTTGGTGTTATGTTTCAGTGCACTATTTTAGTTACATCACAGAGGATCAAGTTGTTTACTATGCATTACACCATAGCTCAACATGCGCTTTCCTAAATGACAATCCAGATGGCCAAAAAATATGTGTCACTAAGTATAGAGTGCAACAGTTGGGTTACGGAAGTGACAATTTCCCTATAGGGACTTATAAACCTTATAGAATGACCCTATACAAAACATGTAAAGATTTTAAGTCTGTGAACAACAGCATTACCAATGATGCTGTACAAAAAAAGTCACATAATATTTGACTATTATAATATTTGGGGGTTAACGGTACGCAAACTCGTCAGTTCGGTATTGAAGTCACGGTTCAGTACGGGTTCGGTACAGCAGGGGGGAGTAAACTAATCACAAAATTGCTTCTTTTTTCTTTCTTGTTAAAATTAAACCGTTTTTTAACAAATGTGTTTAAATAAATTCTATCATAATTAAAATTTTCTATGATAAAAAAACCTATCTTGGCTAATGCTATAAACAATATAGTGGGAGCCCTTACTTACACATTACTTTAATATTAAAGCGTCACAATCAACAAGAGAGCCCAAATTATGAAATTCAGTTGCTATTTATTTTTAGATATAATAATCAACACAAGTACATAACATGTACTGTAAATTGCACATAAGGCAGGTTTTGCATTGAAGGGGTAGTTCACTTTTTAAAAAAAAAAAACTTTTGCTGATAATTTACTCACCCCCATGTCACCCAAGATGTCCATGTCATTCTTTCTTCAGTCGAAAAGAAATTAAGGTTCTTGATGAAAACACTCCAGGATTTTTCTCCATATAATGCACTTCAATGGGAACCAAACGGTTCAAGATCCAAAAGACAGTTTCAGTGCAAACTGAAACTTTCTTTAAAGGATTCCAGACGATGAATAAGGGTCTTATCAAGCGAAATGATCTATCATTTAAAAATAAAAAACAACAACAAAGTTTAAGTTTTATAAGCACAAATGGTCGCCTTGCTCTCTTCGTGACTCTCCTGTTCGAACTCGTTTATCAAAATGAATCTTTTTTTTTTGAGTCAATTTGTTCATTTCGTTCATTGAATGAACCAAATGACACGAAAAAAGATTTGTTAATTTTGATAAGTTAGTTTTTGTCTCATTTTTTTTTTACAAATCAAAGCTTGTAATATTGTGATTTACCTCAGTCATGGCCTAAAATAACTTTTTCAAAATCCGTATGGGAGAAATGAATGGAAAAAATGCTTCCGGAACCAAAGTTGCTGAACAAGTGTTGTCCAGCTGCACTCTATAATGACTAAATTGCACCACTTTTTCTTCGTATATTTGTAATTGTCAGGCATCTTGCTCCAGGAGGAGAAGATCAACTCTATCTTCCTACTGTATCTGATGTCAATCCCCAGCTTCTGCATCCTGGCCATAGCCGCTCTGGTTCTGGAGAACTGGGCAGCGATGCAGTCCCCTCTCCAGTATGACCGTCACCTCTGGGGTTTCATCTTGCTCAGCTGTCTGGGTTCAGTGCTCTACAACCTTGCCAGCTGCTGTGTCATCACCCTAACCTCTGCTGTCACGTTGCACATCCTGGGAAACCTGAATGTGGTGGGGAACCTGCTCCTCTCCCAGCTGCTGTTTGGCCACCAGCTGACGGCTCTTAGCTGTGCTGGAGCGGCCCTCACCCTCTCGGGCATGATCATCTACCAGAACTCGGAGATCATTGTAGCTTTCTTCGACGCACGTAAGGCCAGGACACCAACCAGTGACAGTAGAGAGGAGAATGACTCAACTGCTGAACCAGCTCCACAACCTTGTTCAGAAGAAGAATCATCTCCAGAAGCGGCTCAAGAGAGGACAGAGGATCATGAGAAAACAGACTGAAGAGACTCAACAACGGCTGTGTTCCAAAACCTAGTGAGTTGCAGTGCTGTCTGTAGTCAAACTCTGGACTTTTTTGTGCATAGAGCACAAAAGGAGTACAATGAAAGTGAAAGGTGACCACAGATTTCTCTGGTTCCCAACCACTTTCATTAGATGGAAAAAAGCAGCCTGGACCAGAGTTATTATAGGTAACTAAAGCAGAAACTAAAACGTTATTTGAAAAAAAAAAAAAAAAGTTGGAATAAAATTAAAATATTAAAAAAACTAAACTTTTTTTTATTTCACATTTCTTATTTAAATTTAATTTGATGTACTAAAATAAAAAAAAAACTACATCGACAAATTAAGAAAACTACTATTTTTGACACAAACAACAAAATTTAAACTATAACATAGCTATAACTTAAATAAAATTAAAGTGCCCTTTTATGCTTTTTTGGATTTTGCCAAACTATGTAATGTGTTCAGTTAAATATCTTTTTGTGTTCTACAGAAGAAAGATAGCCATACAGATTTGACACCTCATAAAAGTAGTTCATTTTGTGCGAGCTATCGTTTTAACGGAAATTGGCCCTCATATTAAGTGACCAAAACTTTGCGTGTCATACAGTGCTCCTCACTCACAGGAAACTCACCTCAAGTGATTATAAATTATACTTCAGTGTTAATGTGAACGTTCGCGTAAGTGTATAGCCAAATGCATGGCCATTCAAAAATGATACCAACAGAGGCGCTCAACGTGCACACTATAAAGTTTATACGTATAATCTAGCATACACATAAAAACTGAAGTATACTTTGTGTTTAGAAAGAATTTGATGTTAGCATGTTGCTAAGCTAACAAGGCGATTCTCTAATAAGCATAAAAATACATAGCGCACAAATATTGGATAAAATAGTCTATTATAATGATGAGACAGAACTATTTTTTGATCATTTTCACTACTGACTGAATTAGGAGTATATTTCTATTAAATTGTGTTTGAATATCGTCAATTCACTAGGTTTTGGAACCAAACACTAACCGTCATCCTGCGTTATCTGGTTGAATATGGAGTCAGAAAAGATGCGAGGTATCCTGGTCAGCGATGATGAAGATGATATTGAAGGTGTAGTTTTTTCCCAGTACCTCCTCACTGTGCCAATACTTTTATTTCAGTCATTCTTCCAATGGAGACAGTCTTTTTTTTAGCAGATGCCGACCGCAGCCATTTGTTTGGATTTTATTACCTCTGTTCTGCCAACACGTTCATACATTCGTCAAAACTTCTGCATGAGCACCAGGAAGATCTCCAAAGTCCTGCCATATTCATTCTGTGACTGTGTCTATCTAATGCACTGTGAAAAACAACTGCTCGATTTGCTTTGACCCTCTTTATTGGTCAGCACAGCTGTTTTTGGACTTGTTCGCACTTTTTAAATATTAGAGATAGATGGGCACAAAAAAAGTACATAGGAATAATTTATTTTTAGATACTGTAACTCTGCCGTCTTGATTCTGGTGATATGGACGGTACATTTAAGGCAGCTTTCTGTAGGATGCCATGTTTGAACGAGTATCCTATGTTCATCATCTAGGTTACGTTTACATGGAGACGAGCAAGACTATTGGATCCTCATTTGGGTTCACTTTTATTTAGCCTGGTGCACTTTTCTTTTCAGAAAATTGGTTGGTTACACTTTATTTTATGGTGATGTAGTTAATATTACTCAGTCATTATTTGAGTACAATGTAACTACATGTTACTAAAGAGTTAGGGTTTGGTTTAGGGGTTAGTTACTTGTAATAATGCTTAATACTAGTATAACTACATCACCTGAAAATAAAGTATTACCAACTGGTTTTATACCACTGTGTTATAGAAAAGATCTAGTAGAAATAAGCTCAGATTCCTAAGTCATATTTCACCACAAAATCATTTACAGATATTTTTTTTTTATTGGCTTCTTACCTCATTACCGCAATTCATCTGAATGTCTTTAATTTGAGTTTTATAATTGCCATTATTCTCAGTGAGGCTTCTTCACTACTGTAATATAAAACACATATTATTATTATTATAATTATAAATACTGTACAATTTTAGCAATATATCATTTATTGCGTTACGGAAATGATTTTCACACTACATTAATGAGAATTGGGGATAAAGTGAAAAAAAATTGAAATCAGCATTAATGTAATATAATAACCTATATTACATTTATACGATAATGTGTATGCAACTTAATTTAATTAAAATATATCATAATTAATGACATTAAGACTTCAGCATTGCGCTACTAAGAATTTACTAAGAAGAGAGGAAATGTGCTTATTTTTCATGAAAATAATGTCACAAATTAAAACAAACACATGCTTCATTTTATTTATGCAAAATATAATGTCATAAGATTTTATTTTGCTCACAACAGGCTTGGGTGAGATTCACCCGAAGAATCAGTTGAGAAATTGCCGTTTTTTTTTTTTCATGTGATAATATAAATGTGACTGTGTCCCATCATAGGCAAATGGGTATAAACTGGTGCCTCTTATGTAATTCCCAGTGCAGATAATTATTAATAGGTCTCTCTAAGGAGTCTCACTCATCTTTAGCACACTATGATCTCTCAGGAGAAATCAAAATCATAATGTTGTCCTCCACAAAAGGTTCCCTTGCTCTTGCTCGTTTCCTCCGAGTTGGTGCTCATCTTTTTTTCACTAGTTTCTTTGATTTGTTTTGATTGTTTTTGTGACACCTGCTGGACAGTATTATTTTCCCCTCCTATTTGAATTGTGTGTTTTGAAGCTGTCATAAGAAATTGACACTAACAGATGTTATGGACCATGGTGCATAGCAAGGTCATTCCCTCGAAGAGGTTTTGTGCCATCTGCTGGATAGAAAGCGGATTAGCATTTATTATTGTTACTTTATTTTTTTATAACTGAATTGAAGTGCATTGGATCTAAATATCAGGCATTTTGCCTGTTTCCCAACATGACAGGAATTCATAGTTGGGGTTTAATATATTCTCTTAAAAACTGACTCGACCCATTTTGGGTTTTCGAATTGAGTAACTGGAAATCTACAAGGATGTGAATGTGTCCTAGCAGATGTTGAGGTGTAGGCAATCTTATGGAGATGATCGAATCTATGATAAAACATACGCTAACTCAAGTGTGCCTATCTGAGGGCTGTTTTCAGAAGGAAACACCAGCCTTTCGAGCTTTATTTATTAAGGTCTCAACTGTCCATCCATTCTGTAGTGTTTTCACCCATTACTTTATTTCTAGTGCACAGCATCATAGGATAAGCATGGTACTAAGAGACTAAAAGACTGTCTAAGATATATCGGCATTCGTTTTGACAAATGTTAAACTTTTTTAGGCTGTTTTATGTTACTAAGGGTGGCACAAAGGGGCGCTAATACTATTATTCGGTTATGCTTGTAGGGTTATCAGTTACCTATGCCCATTAAACGATCTTGCTGATACATCAGTCTACAGTTTTTCGATTTTGCAATTGGGTATTTTGTGCAAAGTGTGAAAATTTAGGAGGCTGTTTGATTTGAAAAATTGACTACTATGTGAGCAATGCTTCATATATCGACACTTTTGATAATGGGCAATGACCTTCTTTATCTGCAAAATTTCACTGAAATTTCACTAGTATGACCGCGCCTTATTAGTGAAAGCGACAGCCTATTCACATAATGCTCATCCAGTCTCTGTAACACAAGCACAGTGGTTAACTGACCACATTTGGTCTAAAAAATGATCGGCAGAACAGGTTGTCAGTTAAATACCTCAGATGTTATTGTTTTGTTCCTGTGATGACGTTTTACTGGGTCACTAGTGTACTGGATGATGTTTTCAATGCTGAGATCGCATAGAGTGGTTCTGACGGTTTTGATGTGTCTTTTATTGGTTGCAATGCAAAATTGCACTGACGATTTGCATAACTCTGTGGCTCATGTGTATATATGGTTTCTGATGTCAGCAAAATATCAGATGTAAATGCTTATTTTATTATATTTATGTATTTTACAATCATGGAAAGCTGGACAAATACACTGGTTCAAAAACACACTGTCTGGTGTCTCTTTTTCTTACATAAATCTTACATTTTAGTATGTAAAAATGTTTTATTTGCTATTATTATTTTTCATATCAATATACTAGTTAAAACTAGCAGTGTTTTAAAACATGTTAAAAATATGCAAGCAGCATGCTAACTACAGTTACATGCTATATTGTCTTAAAATATGCTAACAACCTACGCTAGCAAAGTGTTAAAACATGCTCTGAGGTTTGTTTTCCTGTCTTCATCTGACGTTCTGTCTATCTGACAATAAATCATTAAAGTCTCAAGCTTTTAAACCTATTTCATGATTTCAGGCCAGGTTTTATCAAGTCAACGTCACCAAACTTTACCTATTTGTTCCTTTCAAAACCAGCATTACTGTGTGAAACTTATAATGGAAGTGAATTGGGTCAATTTGGAAACATTAACATCTTCACTGTTTGTTTCAATAATGTAGGTACAAGATGTAAACAATATGCATGCTGTTACCATGACTTAGTGTGGGGAAAAAAACCTTTTCTGTGTAAGTTATTTCTAAATGTGCAACTTTGTTGATGTAACAACATAACACTGTAAACCCCAAAAAACACAAGTTTTAATAGAATAATTAATAAAAGTGCTTTTATAAAATAATAAGCTTCACGTGTCTCTATTTAAATTGGCTCCATTTACTTCACATTGTAAGTGCCTCAACCCAACCTTAATTTACATATTTTTAAAGAAAAGAAGCAATGTGTCTTAATTCTTTTTTTTTTTTTTTTTTTAGGTAAAATGAACAATGCTACAAATAAGCATTTGATTGAGCCTAACTTGTATTGTACCTTGTTTTTCACCTAGATGATGATAAAACAGTTCAAATGTCTATGGTGATGATACACAGGGCAACTTTTTGAGCAATGTTGCTGGGCAATGTTGCCTTCAACGGGCAAGATGAGACACAGGACCGAAGACTGAACCTAAATTATCCAGATACAATTGTATTGGCCATTTTCAATGGGAAAGTACCCAAGCAACAATCGCTCGGCAAGATTGCCCAGCAACATTGCTCAAAGTGTACACTCTGGGTTGTTTTAACCGGATTTTGGGTCAAAAATGGATGAACCCAGCCATTGGGTTAAAAATGTAATTTAACAATGTAACCCAATGGCTGGGTTTGTCCATAATACCCAAAATTTGGTTAAAACAACCCAGCATCATCACCTTTAGATGTATATTGAAGGAGGACGACTAAAAGACCAAAATATCTTAGGGTTGAGACCGCAAACAACCACAGAATATTAGAAATCACAAAGCAAAAGCAACATGCTAACTACCTTTCAGAGCACCATTACAAACGCATAACAATGACCTAGTAACAGCACACCAATGGTTCAGTTTAGCAAAACTAACATTTTCTCCATGTTGAATGCTGAAACATATCATTACGAGTTTTGCCACGGACAACTTTTGTATGAATAATATACCACATTAGTGAATGACTCACTGGACATCCAGACCAGTCTAAGCCAAGGTTTCCTTCATCCTCACTGTTTCCACATGTCATGCTAGCTCACTTCTGCCAGTAAGTGATTACGATAACCATCGGCCACCACTAGGTGGAGCCAAACACTCCTCCATTAAACACACAGAACACCTCCATCAAAGCCATGCTGTAATGGAGTGTGAAAATGTTTATGTGCCAGCGACATTTCTGGTCTCAGCTTTTGCAGATCAACACTACGACAAAAAAATGTTTACGTCTGCAGATGAGAAACGGATGTGTCCAACCTGTGTAAACATGGAGCCGCTTCAACGCAACATCATCCTTGTTATGCCTTAATAAGGCAGTGTTCTCCGTCTGTCCACTCATTCACGATTTAGTACTGCGTAGAGCCAGGCCACATGCTTATGCAATCACTGTCATCACAAAGCATGCTGGGTGAGCACCATTTATCTCAACGTTTCCTTTCCTCTGGTTTTCAAACATATAAAAACCCTGATACCACTTTTTTAATTGACAGTGTCTAGATAAAATGATGACGCATTTTTATAGATATGGCAAAGCTAACAGTAGGGAAAGATCAGAACAAGCAGTGCCAAAATATGTCACTAAAACTTAATGTCCCGTTCTACTGAATCCACGTTTTTCCTGGTCCCTTCAGGAGAGGGTGATGAGGGTCCGGGTGGGAGTGGCTCACAATGGCTCTGAAAAACTCACTCACTCCAGCATCAGAGTTGAGTGTGTGTGACCTTTCTAAATCAGACTGCAAGACCTTTCCTCTGGACAGCCGCAGCGAGATTGGTGAGCTTTGTCTTTATGCTTCTTATTTTGCCAGATTTTTGTTTTTCTGCTGAATTTCCATTTATCTTTCAGTTCAATGATTATGTGATTACATAACGGCTATTACATCAGTGTAAGAGTGAAATGTTATTGAGCGGTTATATAAATTCCACCAAACATTAATATGTGTTATTATGGTAAAACTGTAGAAACAATATGACCCGTTCTGCTAGCTTCAGCCCACACATTATTCCCAACACATGCTGACATTACAGCAGCAAAGAGCATCTGGACAATTGAGGCTTCTGACTCATTGACTAATTGAATAATCGGGTCAATAAAGGTGTCCTATTCGAGTAAATATTTAGTTTATAACATTGTCTGTGAGCGTGATCCACTAGAGTTCTACAACTATGGAGCCCCTAAGGGACATGGTGATGAGGGAAAATAACAGATTATATTTCAATGCATTTGTGTTTGCTTGTAAATCTTTTGGGTAGCAGTTTATTTTGATTGTCATCTTTTACTGACTACAAGTAACTTTGCAACTATATGTCAGCTAACAGATATTAGAGTGTTAGTAGACTGTCTGCTTAATATACGGCACAAAATAACACTTCATTTTGATGGTCCCACCACAGAAATTCCACTGACTAAAGATAACTTTGCATCTAGATGGCAACTTATTCTACTTGAACACCTAACCTAACCCTCTACTGATACTCTAATGAGTAGTTGACTTGACAAGTTACTTATTAATAAAATGTCTAAAGTGGAACATCCAAGTTTAACCAGATTTTGTGTTCCCTCAAGAAACTTTGCATTCGCTCACAAAACTATGCGTTCACTTACAAAAGAATGCCAAACTGGTAGATATTAAGGTCGAAAGAAAACCTATAGGCCAATGCTTTTGCTAGTGAACATATCATTTTTGTGACCGCATGCAAAGTATCTCAGGGAAACGCAAAATTTTGTGACCAAACACAAAACTGCTGCTAGAAATAATCTGAGGTTGAAGGAAAATATATTTTTAATGCTTTTGTGAGTGAGTGAATGAAAGTTTCTTGGGGGAACTCAATCATTTTAGAGAATAACTTGTGGGACCGCGAGAAATATAATTTGAAAAGCAATGAAATAATGTTCCTCCCATTTCATGTTTTTTTTCATGTACATGTATATGTAGTTTTATCATTAAAACCTAAGAAATTTTCTGTTTTGCTTAAAAAGTGCACTTGTACAATCTTTCTTTAAAATAAATGCCTCTTGGTTTGATATTTTCTATCTAATCTTAGTCTTAAAGACTTTCTGGCCGATACCGATAATACTTTATATTTGATTTTGATATGTGAAAAGGCATGTCCCAAACACACAAATATGTTTTCATTATCATTTTTGCAACCTATTTAACACACTTGTAGCCAAATTTACTTTTAGCGGTAACATTAAAAACTAACTTTTTTCACGCACACACACACGCACACACACACACTGCACAGGTCAAATAGACCTATATTGAGTCAGTCCAATGGTTGATACAACACATTATCCCACCGGTCACAATTGTGACCGATCATAAAACTCACTTTTTCACACAGTTTTAGTTTTCCATGAAAATTAAAAAATATATATATATATATATATATATATATATATATATATATATATATATATATGATTGATTGTTTCAAAAGGATACTAATGACACATGATTTTGATATTTTTGTGTCTGGGAAAAAGTTGGGAATAAATGGGTTAAGATTCTGTCAGAAGAGAGAAAGTCATACAAGTTTTGAACGACATTAAAATGATGACAGAATGTCCATTCCTGTAAATAGTCTCCACTCATAATAATAAATCACTTTGTTTGTGTTAGGGTCTCAGTTGGTTTACAGGACTACAGGAAGAAGGTGCGGGAGATATCCTAAGCTACTGCATGGTCAATGTCAGAGCCAACCAACATGGTTTTTGTTTATGTTGAAATAAATGTTTGGATTCTTTTCATTTAAATGTCCTTTTCCATTTATATGGATGCACAAAGTCATCATTATGTGTGGCTGGAAGCAGCGTGACATTTAATCTGTGAGAAAACAATCACGCTAAATATATTTTATTAATGAAACCTGTTTGTTCAGAAGCCGCTTTGGCTGTGACAGTTACATCAGCGTTTAGTAGCTACAGACTATCTTACTAGCATCTTGGGGTGTCTTAAATTAATATCCCAGTACTAGAAATTCTCACACAAAGCTTTCAGAACATCTCTCCCTCATTTTTCCTATCCATAAACGTACTCCCTCATTCCCACGCACACATGGAGATTTACACATCTCGTAACCTGGCTCCATCAACACCTCCTGTTCCTCCTTCTGTCCCAGCTGTCACTAAAGATGGAGGGTGAGAAGGGAACATTAGAGGCAGGTATCAAAGAGCAACCTGATATGACGGGTCCACTGACAGTTGAACAGCTGGCTGCTATAGAGGATGAAGAGATCCTCAATAATATGGTAAGAGGCTGCAAGTGGACCGGGCTTGTTATCATGGTTTGTCTTGACCATATTTAGGAACGTGTATTTCCCTTTTGTTTATTGCGTGTAATAGCTAGATAAGGCTGTGGATTTCGAGGAGAGGAAAATGATCCGGGCTGCCATGAGAGAACTGCTCAAGAGAAAGAGGGGTGAGGATTTGGTCATGTCCTTAATGCCACATATATTCAATCATATATATATATTATATGACACAAACATTTTTTTAAGTCTAACTTGATTCCCGACATGCTTTTTGGTGAATCTTAAAACCTATCAAGAATCTGGTTCACAATCAAAAGGGAAAAAAATGTGTTGCATAAAGAAAATTAAGCATTTTTTTTGTGTGACATTATTGTAAGCATACTTCATGGTTAGCGCTGCTGTCTAAAGTATTTATGGTAATAATAAGTGGGGAAAAGCATTTGGACAGGGTTATTCTCATTGTATCATTGGAATTGTGATAAAATGTCATGAAAATAATTGATAATTAATGATAATTTTTATTACAGTAATTTCAAAAGTGGACAGAGGTCAAATGCCACGAAAATAATGTAACAATGCAAAACATCTATTCTAAAAATTGGTTGTTATTAATTAAATTCTTCTATTAATTTCTTAATTTATATTTATATTTAAATTAATATAAGCTACCTTTCAAAAGTCTGTAAATTATTTTTTTTATATTTTTGAAAGGAGTCTCTTTCAACAAGGATGCATTTATTTGATTAAATAATACAGCAAAAAAACTGTAATATTGTGAAATTATTACAATTTAAAACTGTAAAAATAAATAAATAACTGTTTTCTATTTTAATATATTTTAAAATGTAATTGATTCCTGTGATCAAAGCTGTATTTTCAGCATCATTACTCACGTGATCCTTCAGAAATCATTCTAACATGATGATTTGATGCTCAAGAAACATTAGGGATGCGCCGATATGAAAATCGGTGCATCCCATTCTTTACATTATTTTTTTTATACTTTATATTACTTTATATTTTTGAAAGCTGATGACCGATATATTGGCCAATAAATCTAAATCCATATTTTTATATAAACTTTCAGAGCCTGGTAACAAAAACAAAAATTTCACCATTAAAAGCCATGTCCTAAGCACACAATTATAGCGTTCTCATTATAATTTTATGTAGCTTATTAGCCTGACACTTATTGTATTGTGATAAATATAGACATGTTCTTGACAGGTTTCATGAGATTTAAGACACACAGGAAATAAAAAAAACTCAATAGAATAAACCACTGCTATTATTTGTTGAACTTTTCTAAACACACAGTAGTTTGTTTATTCTTTTTTGCGAATGAAAAATGTCCTCCTCTCGTCTCTGTCTCTCTCAGAACGGCGTGATAGGGAGCGGGCGGCCCGGATGGAGAACCTGCATCAGCAGGGTAACGGAGGCAAGACAGCTGCTGGACTGAATAAGGAGCAGAAAGCCACTAATAACCCGAGCGGTGCTCAGTTCAACGCACACAGTGAGTAACCATTACTCCTGAGGATCTGAACACTATGTTTACTGCAGTTCTTCTAACTGCAAGGCTTAGATAACCTCCCCTTTCTCTTTTTAATTAAATTCGGTACAGAGACGGCTCAGGCAAAAACATTTTCAACACCAACCTCTACAAAAATTGTGAGCAGGTGAGTCATTCCTAGAGGCCGGACAGGATGACAGGGATGAATCCCATCATCTGATTGTTTTATTTTTTTCTCCTAAAGTCCCGCTCAACCCCATGTGGCTAGGGATAAAAAAGTGCCGGGCGGCTCGGCAGTCGGGGTGCCAAACACTAAAGATGTCAAACAGATGCTGCTGGACTGGTGTCGTGTCAAGACTGAACCGTATGAGGTGGGCCTGAAGAGAGCAAATAAGATCAAATCAAACAGTTTCTGTTTTGCTACATTTCTCTGGCTCTGCAGCCCTCCCAGTGTGAATCTCATGGAAACATGTCCAGATCACATTTCACCAGAAGTATTTAACATAAAGAAAATCAAACCTATTTTAAGGATTTCTTTTGCATTTTGATATTTTTACGACAATTAAGCACGTTTTCCTTCTCATTCTCATTACTGTAATGCCTACTATTTTTTTTAATAAGCCTACCATATTTGTAAGACCGATTATGCTAAATGATAATTCCCTTTTTTTACTATATTACTGGCCAAAAAATAACTGTTTTTATTACTGTTTTTATCACTTTTTTAAAATCCAACTCAGTTTTACAACAAATGCTTTATGTATAAATACTTTATATCTTTTTTATTTGCTTTATTACAATGGAAATTTGGAGGGTGGTGAGAAAAACCCCAAAATAACCTTAAAGGTCCTGATATACTTCAAGCGTAATCGAAGAACAAACTGGTGTGATGTCATTTTGAACAAAGTTGGGCCAAAACGAAGTTCATTTGGAATTCATTGCAGGAGTTAACAGCTTGCCAAAGCAAACTTTCCAGAAAAGTTTGATCTGGCTGGTAAACACCTTTGAACTACCATTGTTCTGAGGAGATTACGTAATATGAGAACTGAAGTTGTAAATGAAATTAAATGTTTTTGTTTAATATAAAGCTGCTTTCTTTTAAGTTCCCCTGTAGTTAATAATTGTATCCCTTAAAAATCATCTTTGATCACCAAAATGACAAATTTTTAAATCCTTAAAGCCCTAAAGGGATACTTCACCTGTATTTAAAATGGGTCATTTATGTAGAAGAAATGTGAAATTATTTTTTAATTTGGAGCTTTCTAGATTGAGAAATTACATTTATTTTTTATTCACAATCTTACTTGATTCTTTGTTTAGGGTGTGAAAATCCAAAATTTCTCCTCTAGCTGGGCAGACGGTCTGGCGTTTTGTGCCCTGGTGCACAGGTTTTTCCCTGAGGGCTTTGAATATTGCACTCTCGACCCCTATGATCGCAGGGCCAACTTTGAGAAGGCGTTCAAGACTGCAGAGTAAGACATGACACTAATATTGCATCCTCATCTGCATCTCATGAAAAAATGTCTGAGTTGAATATCACCTAAAAAAGAAATTTTAATCATCATATAAAATAATATAATATAAAATAAATGTTATAATAATTACATAACAATATATATATATATATATATATATACTGTATATATATAATTTAATTTCATCCATTTTATACTTTATAATTATATTATACTTAAATAATAATGTATTTAAAAACTTTTTTTATTAATAACTTTTAATCTTTTTCTCATCCAGGTATTTAAAAAAAACCAGCCAACATTAAAGATAGGACAACAATTTTATAAATTTTAAATTAAATAAAACATCAGCATTTATGGTAAAGAAAAATCCATGGTGGGAGGAGGAAATGTGCTTTTGTTAAGGTATTTTGTAGGGAAAATGTGCTCAAATTATGAAAATAATATCCAAAAAATCATAATGTTCCTAAAATAGGCTTCATTTGTTTGTAGGAGACTAGCTGACTGTCCTCCCCTGCTGGACGTTGACGACTTGATGCGGATGCGAGAGCCCGACTGGAAGTGTGTGTACACATATATCCAGGAGTTCTACCGCTGCCTAGTAGAGAAAGGCCTAGTCAAGACTAAAAAGAAGATGCCATAGAAACTTTTTTGAGCATTTTCACTGTAAATGACCAAAGGGCCACAACAGGCACGACATAGGGCACATGTGACCTGACCTGCACCTTTTACCTAAGATCAGACAGATAGTCTATTATGTACTCATGCTCTTCTCTATTGCATAAAAACACATGCAGTGGACGAGGATTATAACCGGCGTGTTTGGCACTAGGGTGCAGCTGAGGCTCTGAAACAGTGCATTCCAGTGAGATTACACATGCATTAATCTCAGTCTATGCTTAGAGATTGTGTGAATGTGTGTGTGTATGTGTGTGTATACGCAGAAGGCTTTTTATGGTACTGCTACTCCCGGTTTTGAATGCACTCCAGCACAGAGACATCAGGCTTATAAGGGCATGCGATCTAATGCACAATTATTATTAACTCAGATTAATCGTTTGTTTAAAAATATAGACAGGGAACTTTTGCTATTATATAAACGAGTTCAGAAAGGACAACAAAGTCTAAAGCCTCAGAAATGTTTCTTTTTTCTCCTCCAGAATAGAAGTGTCACCTGATTTTGCATATAGGGTGAAATATGATTGCTTGAATGGTTTTCAGTTTCTCTCAACTTGTTCAGGATCAAAAGTGCATCATACAGAGCACTTGCTTGACACTAGCAAATGACCCTAGAACTGCACTAAGAGGGATTATGTCCAATAAAACCTCTCACTCAGGGATAGACACTCAAGGCCTGTAACATGCATGTAAGTGTTGTTTCAGAAGGCAAATGGCAATTTTTAAGTGCTTTTACTTAAGTGCACCATACAAATATGGCATTCTAATATAATAAAAAATCATTTAAGTAGGCTATTATTGTTATCTTTAGTCATACAAGTACAGTTGCTGCATGTCAATCTGTATCGGTGTTCTGGTTTGATTAAATTATGGGTGTTATTTTCCTCCCACAGTGCATCACCAACTGTTTGCCAAGGATTATTAAATGTGATTTTCTTCCCTGTGATTTTTTTCTCTTTACTAACACGTACACACACACACACACACACACAAAATTTAATATATTATTGGATTTTAGTGATAAACCAAATAATACCCCAAAAAAGCACAAAATTCATAAAATCACTAGCTAATACGTTGAGGACACAGTCAAATAAAACTTTAAATTGATTACTAATTAAAACATTATTCTCAGGAAAATGTGTTGCACAGGTATAAATGTGTTAAAAAATGTATAACATTTTTAAATAAATTGTCAGTTCCCTATCAGTCGCTCACGTTCGATGTTACATCGACTTAAGGGTAACTTCAGGGAGCCCTAATCTTCGAGTACAGAATGAGCCAATAAATGAATGAGTGAACAATGAAAAACAATGAGTGCGTGCACACGCTTATGTATATATGACAAAAGCACATTAATAGACAAATATCTATACTTTGTAAAAAAAATACTGTTGTATTTTCAAAATATATTATAGCCTACAAATTGTATACTGCAATGTATTTTGAAAGTATACTTCCAATGCATTGTTACAATGATCATTTCCAGCAAAGTTAAAATATACCTAAAATAAATTTTAAAATATAGTGCAAATAAATAAACTTAAAAAAACAACAACGGAATTTTTACTTCAAGTATATTTTTCTAAAATTATACTAAAGTACAATTACACAATACAAAGTGTGTTCAAAGTTGTATTGTGAAAAGAGGTCAAAGCATGATGCTAATATAATTTCAATATATTTAAAGATAGTACATATTTGCAATGTAGCGTATTGAAAAGGGGAATATATTTCAAATACAACAAAGTATGTATTTTTTAACAAGGGCCTAATATGAAACGGAAGTTGAAGTGCTTTATTGTGTAAATTTATTGTGAATTTTGTGATGTAAGTAGCCTATATCCATATGAAATTGCTTCTCGGACAAGCACATTTTTGGAGGGACTTGATTTTGTCCATGGGGAATTTATTTGATGGTTGGATATTGTTTGCTATTGATCGATATTGATACCTGTGATAGGTTGACCTGCCTGCACATATATACAATTTATAATAATTGCTGCAATATTCCATAAAAACCAAGAATTGTCCATTTTGATTTTAATTGTGGTGACATTTATCTGTGAGTTTAATATTTTATCCAATTTTAGCCTAGTAGGCTATTATATATATATATATATATATATATATATATATATAATAAGGGCCCTATAGTAGACCTATAGTATAAAAATTAACCGACCTTCGACATCATAATCATTATTGATTGGAGTGTGAGGGAAGTTCTGATGAGTTGTGTGGATAATAGATCCATGGCGTGCGTGCCAGCTGGACATTTCTATTCCGCGCACGGCGATGCGGCTGATTTTACGCCGCCTTACGTCATTTTAGATCCAATACTAGTCACTTCTAGTCAAGTGTCTGCTGGAGATGTTTCACTCTCAGTTTTCGCTACCTTTCCTCGTGTCCTCTTGGCTCTGACGTAACTCCCCATCATTCATTATCACACCAGTAAGTGGAAGTGTGTGTGTGTGTGATGTGAGCGTCTCTACAGGACACACACATTTGCGCCGGTGGGGAGAAACAGGACAGGTAAGAATCCTTTAGATAATAAAAACAGACAACTTAATTGTGATTCAAAATTATTGGAGATAGCGCTAGTGTCTTACCGTGACGCTGTTTAAAGCGCGAGAGATGCGCGTGACATCCTTCACCTCGAGACACTGCAGCGTAAAAACAAGTGTCGTCAGATAAACAACTTTGAAAATATCTAACGTTAACCAGCTCGTCTGTCAAATAGACTCGCGTTCATTTCTCGTCATTTCCATAACATAAAATGTCCCATCAGCGTGTCAAACGGCAAATTATCTCATACGCGTGCTGCTGACTCTTAACTGTCACGAGAGGACATATGACCTTGTTCATAATATCGGTTAGGCGCGTGTCTGGCGGAAATTACGATTATTAATATTATAGGCTACTCGATATTTTATTTGAAGTCCAGCTTGCTCTATGACATTTATAAATATTATTATTCTTGCGACCAGTGAGTAGCTTAGCCTACTCACTGGTTCTTGTGACAAAACCAAATTCAATAATAAACAAAAGGTGTATATAGCCTATATAATAATTATTTTGTGTCTGTTTAGTATATTCAGTTCGGGTTAAATTTCCAGCGTTTTCTTTTTCCTATTTTTTCTTGCATCATTGAATATCAGTCAGATCTGATACAAAAACAATGACCACACTAATTGTGATGTAAAATACTGTACATTCACCACAATTAATGAATGGAAAGTAGGCCTACAGGATGGTTTCAAACTGAATTGTCACTAACCATCAAACAAACATTTTTAATGTGTTGACAAAATTAACTAATTTTGCATGCATTTTGCATATACGTTATTAATAGGAAGTAGGCTACTTAAAATGAGGTGCAGTACAATTACTAAAATGATATAAACAGAAGTATATTGATGGATCTTTAAAACCCAGAGCACATGACCTTGTTTAGCTCATAAGCTGAAAAATAATTTTGACCTTTTTGTGGCCCCAAAAGCAGAGCATGTTTTCACATAGGCTTTTCTGAAAATTACAAATAATAAGGAAGCACAAACAACTGCAAAAATTAACATACAAAAATACCACCAACCAACAGATTTTGTAATGAAAATATTTGATCATGTGTGTGTGGCAACTTGCACCAGCCTCCTTTATAAAAATGAGCTGACACCTTATGTGTCATACTTGGACCGATGTGTCATGTTGTTGCTTCCTATGGTTACATTTTTTGTGAATGTACCTCTCCATTGAAGTCTGATGAGCCATTGCTATTATTGTCATCAATATTGCCTACATTTGTTATGATTACCTATTTTCTTGATGCCATCCTATTTTTGTGCACTAAATACTGTGATCAGGTTAGCTTTTATATTATTACCTTACTGCATTGAACTGGGGGATTTTTATTTATTTATTAATAACCAGTACTAGTACTATTTCTAACACTTGATTGTTGTAGAGTGCATTAATGCGCATTTGAATACTTACCTTGAAAATTTGTATATAAAAACTCCATATAATTTATATATGGGTTTTTTATATATATTAATTTTTATGGTACATCACATTTGTATTGCATGTGTTGCATTTCAAACATTAGAATTATAATTTGCATAGAATAAATCAGCTCCAAAGCTTTGCCCAGTTTGTAGTTTTGATTTTGAAATTAATTGTTCTGTTTTATTGTGTATCTGCATTTTTAGACTGAGACTTCTTTGCTAAACTATAGCATTTTCTAAGATGTAAATTGTACTTGAGATAGCATTCTGTCTTTTTCAACAAAGATCTGTCCCAAGACACCAATGTGTAAAAGCTCTGAGCTATTAGTCTGCAACAGATGGAGACAGAGGCGTCAATGCTAATGCTATGTGATGGCCATTATCCCCTGCACTTTCTTCAAACATTGCCTTATCGATCAGAATCCTGTTTATTCAAGGAAATATACTTGCAATGTTAAAAGGTAAGAATGGAAATGTTTGGAGATGGGGGGATGTTGGGACAGAAAGTTGTTGCCAAGCAACAGGAAAGTAGATCAGGACAGCGGGGAGGGTATATAGTTGTCATTTGAGGAAAAGGATTGATCTTAGCTGATTGTAGTTCATTGATGTCAGCAGTGACGTCCCAGGAAAAACCGAGATCGAGAGGGGACAGGTAGTGGGGACGTTCAGCCCTGGCTACTGTCCAAATCTCTTCACACACTGAGCCATCCACTGCAGACAGAAACGTTCTCTGTCTTTGATCATGGGAGAAAGCAGAGGAGTGTGAAGGACACACAGCGCCGGCCCGAGCCTTTTGGGGGCCCTAAGCAGAATTTGATTTGGGGGCCCCTCCCACGACGCGGAGTCACCTGTGTTTGACGATTATTGACATAAATGTCACGCAAAAATGATACATTATAAATGAATACACTGAGGTTATGTATTAATAAAAAAATAGATGCCTACTTAAATAAAAAGTTTGAAAACAGTCTTAAAACTGTCTCAAAATATACAATAAATTATTTGCTAAAATTATGACAAAACTGAGAAATTAGAAACGTAAGAGCAATGATACTTTGGCCTATCCTCCTGGGACCCAGGAATAGACTTTTGTCCACTGTAGTGGACATTATATTTTAGTGTATTTCTCTGACACCATGCGTCACATTTTTTTTCTGGATGTCCTGTAAAGAGCACATTCAGGGCAATACAGAGATACCAAATGTTTGGAGGTTTCACCATGAAAACAACTTCTCCTTGGTCTTTAAAAATGTCTAACATTAATTTAGTGATCAAATGTAGCACTCTTATTGAAATATGGTAATATATTGTAATTATAATTTAAATCTAACTACTTTTCAAATTGTATTTCATCAACCAACATCTCATGAAAATGTTATGGGGTTTCAAATGAAAAAAATGACTTTCCGTTACAGGGCATTGATTTCATTCATGTCCACTGTAGAGAACATCAGGACATAAATCATGTTTATCAGGCATTCTGGGAGACATAACAAGTGAATATGTAATAAATTATACCTCAATATTCTTATGACATATTAGATATTATTATTAAAATGTTGCTTATTATTACGCCAATGCTTACACTTCTTTCCTCATTAAATGTTGCTCCAAGAACACATTAATGTGCAAATTAGATACAGTGTATAGATACTTTGCATTGAATGGGAATATTAATTTATGCCAATTTTACCCATATATTGCATAAAGTAAATTGGTGTATCAATTAATTCCATTATATCTTTCATAACATAGTTGATAATCATCTTTATACAAATTTTAGTTCAAAAAAATCCTGAAACCCCAAAATGTATTGGTGATTGGAAAAAAAATCCCATTGTTTTTGCCTACACATTGTATGTCATTTAATTTTAACAACTGAGTCCTGGTGTCCACTACAGAGGACAAAGTATTACATATGAATAAAATATAATTTTTCAAAAAGGTTTTTTTTTTTTTACCATTTGTTTATTATGCTTTAAACAATGTGATGAAATGAAAAAAAAATAAATTAAAAAAAAAAAACTTTCTGGGTCTCAGCTATTGTTAAAAACTAAAAATATTACTAGCCTATTTCTCAACTGTCTCAATACAGAGTAACTAAATCTTTATTATTGTTATTATTATTATTGTAACAGACTTTGTTATATAGTACATGACATAATCAACACAGTCTGTTACTATAATACCGGTTATGATGTTCTGGCGCTCGTTGTATGTGTGTATGCAATGTATTTTTCCCCTCGGGGCTTGCCGTAGATGGGTCGTGCGCACTTGCTAGGCTACTGGAGTGTCGCGGGTGTTTGGAGATCTGATGTGTGGTATAATAAAGTGGAGAAGAGTTCAAACTGCTATGTTTATTATTTATTCAAACTGCTACCCTTACACCTTGAAGGATAAGTTCTCCTGCGGGCTATTTTCTCCAACTTAAACCGATACCGTGACTAGGCGCAGTTGCGCACGAATTGTCTATGCACGCGCGAGGTGTCTAGAAGATTATGCGTCTGACTTAAAACGCTGGCAGACAGAGCAGCAGTTGTAACTTGTAGGCAGGTATATTGACCATTAAATCAGAATTTTGTTGTCTTGAACTATTCATTCAGTCATAATTCATTCATTCATTGATTTATGTCACTTGTTTAAGTCATCTAAAAAAATAAAAATAAAAAATAACCTCGATTAGGGGGCCCCCTGGTGGCCAGGGGGCCCCAAGCAGCCGCTTAGTTCGCTTATGCCTCGGGCCGGCCCTGAGGACACACAAACCCAGGACTCTCATCTTACTCTGCATTCACAGCATGTATTTCATGGTTTGGTCACACTTACCATTATTAAATGCATGTTCCGAGTTTGGTAGAAGTTAAGCTCTTTGAACAGCATTTGCAGTTTGAGTCAGTGGTTCATTTTGTCCAAATCCATTCATTTAACAGTCAAAGTGATATACAGTCTTGATAACAAAACAAGTCTCATTAAAATAATGAAATTCTTAAAAAGCAAACCTTAAGTAGTCATTATAAGAAAAAAAAAAAAAAAACTTGTCAAAGTGATGTGCCGTGACCAACATAAAGAATCAAGCAGGAAAACAACATAAATAATACAAAAATGATATCACAGAGAGGACCCCTGCAGACCCTGTGCGTCAAGGTCAATAAGTCACTTAAAATATCAGATGAGGTATTTCAGATGGTAAAATGTCATGTGGTGCAATTCTCCAAAAATGCACTGATATTAAAGGGGTCATGAATTAGATGAGGTCATTGTACTATTAAAACATCCTGTAAGTTTCAGAGCTCAAAACCTCATTGTTAGTTTAAAAACAGATTTTATAAACCAAGCTCATAAAATAACTAGTTTCGGATTTTGTCACATGATGTAAAACCGACGCCTCTGCAGAATCAGATCAATACATCATTGCGTTTTTGGCCCCGCCCACTGGCGTCGCGTGTTAGTGAGACGATGAGGAAAGAGAGCGATACATGATCACTGGACTAAAAATAACATTACCTTCCGAATGATCCTAATGCTAAGAATGTGGTTATTTATTTTCAACCATGTGAATGACTCAGTAGAGCATTATTTCTTTACAATTAATGGTACAATTCACTGTGGTTTTTTTTTTGGTAAATCAGTCTTGATTTTGGCGCAGCCATGTCACGCAAACAGACTTTTAAGATGTGGACCTGACAATAATGCCACAACATGTTTCCTGGCTAATTTTTATGCCTAATCTGGGATCAGTGATTTCTATAGTGATTCATGTACAGTCAGGCGTTCTTTTTCTCAATACCATTTATTGCTGTTTGTGTGTCATTAAATCAAGCCAGTGACTAAACTGTCAACTTAAGATTGATTCTCTTAGTAGCATAAAAATAACCTGTTATTAA